ATTGGTTTCTATTGCACAGTGTAAATTGGCCACTACCTACATTCCACGTTACTGAATGATTTTGTGAAGGGCAGGTGTGCAGCAGATTTGGCTCGGTGTACCTACTACTACAGCATGTGAGTTTGTACGGGCCTCGAGTAGTTAACCCTTTGAAGCGTGCCTAATGTTAGCCTGAGTTAACATTACAGAGCTTCAGCGGGACACGAGGACCCGGTAAACGAGCGGCTCGGTTCTGCCCGAGACATGTGTTTGGACTTCTACAAAACGACTCACATGTTTCAGAGTGTTTATTTTGTTTATAACCAGAGATCATACAAACGAACAGAGCCAGAACAGCAAGTGTTAGCATTTAGCCACAAACATATAGCGAGCTAATGCCTCACGTAGACAGGAAACCGGTGGAAAACAGACTGCGGGTGTTTCTTTTTGCATTTATTATGTACATGATGTAAGCCAAGAGACAGCGCCTCCGCCTGTATCACCTCGTGTGAACAAACAAGCAAAATTCACGTTTCAAAGGACAAACCTGGCAGAGTTGTGAAGCGACTGAAGGCACGGGTCCGGTGAGGAGCGGAGCGGATCTTGACGGTTCTACTCCATCGCAGGTAAAGGGCTTCCCCGCTGCTTTACCTTTAGCTCTCCGGGCTCGACATGAATTAGGTGAAATGATGGCTGCTCGCTAACATCTCCGAGTCACGTGGTCAAATGCTCACAGCTGCTGCTCTGTGAGATTAGGACCTCCCCAAAGGCACCGACGGATACATGTTTGGACAATAATCATAAGCACTGCTGTTTCAAACAGTTTGCTTTTGTCAAATTAATCAAACATATAATAACAGCAATAACAAAATATGGTATTATGCCTGTCTTTAATCGATGGGATGTTAGTTGATGTGAAATATTGTGAGAAACAGGCTACCTTTAATTAATAATTATCTGCGTTTACTTCTTTCACCATCAGATCAATTTAGGGTTCTACAGGTTTTTGGGGTGATTCATGAAAAATTCAATATAGATATTTGTCTAAAATTATGTCAGTGGAACAATGCTTCTATGGAAAATTGGCCATAATTCAACATAGTTCCACCCATAGT